GAAGGCATACATTTTTCAAGAATGACCCACATATCCGCTCCGACACAAGTTATAAATACTAGGCTTTTTCCATTTATTTTTTCTATTCCACTCATCCTCCTTTCGCCTCGCATTTCTCTTTCGCTCGTTCTTAATTTTTAACAGGAACTTTAGCAACTTCTGTCAGCCGAATACATTATGTCCTAACTATCTTTCTTTATTATGTCTTTTAGGGGTTATCTCTGAGGGGGGCTGACTTTTTATTACCTTAACGAGTTTCAATTATACGCTCAGTTGCAAATTGTTGATGAATTATTTAAACAGTTTCTTAACAATCCAGCACATGTTTCGCCTACCGAATCAATGAATACTTCACACAGTGACGCTCTCATTCCAAGTGACGATTAGAAAAATAAATCAAATTTCGTGACGTATACGAAGGCAAGCGCGACTTCAAACTTGACATTAAAAATATCTTCAAAATGTTCGTAACGTCTTAAAATAGACGTTATAAATCTCGATATGTGAAATGATATGGAGAAGGGAAAAACGAGGAGATCTCCTTTACTCGATATGTCGCTCTCTACATTCACGAATTGTGATATTCCCAAAAGACGCCTTCAAACACGAGTTTCTTATTCAAATTTCTATTCGTAATTTGAAATTCCTGCCGTCGGTATCTTTCAAAATTCGCATACTCCATTTTGAATACGCAAGTGAATATCAGCACAACTTTTCCCGACTTATTTTTATTGCAAGCCAATGGCAAGAGATAGCGCATCACCATTTAGTATAACAATCCGTTGAAACTTTTTGTTGAACAAGCCATCTATTATCTATTTTCCATAAAATCGCATATAAAATAGTCACACAATGATCGCTTAATTCTTGATGTCGTGTAGAATTTTTAAAGTACTAATAATTACAAATGGTCCCTATCAACGTATGATTAAATTAAATTAAACTCTGATTAAAGATCTTATCATTGCGTAACGGTGTTTTTCAATTTTTCTTCTCCTTTCCCTCAATGCTGACAAGTGCAGGCTTCATTAATTAGTCGTGGACTCGCAGTAGTTGTTAAGTTTGTCTATCGATATGTTACTTTGGTTACTCAGCGACTCAATCGAGTCAAACGAAGCGTCGCGTTGCACCGCGTGTATCGGATTCCCTCGACATTCTTCGATTCGCCTGCTTTATCTCCTTTACCGAATTGTTTGAGTTGGATATACAAGTACTTGGTGGCAAGCGCTCTCCTCCGATCGCTGAATAAACGAAGAAGATTTAATTATCAATCGTATAAATGATAATGCTTGACAATCCATTGCCAGATACTCGCTTAACAATATCACACGCCCAAAATGCAAATCAAAACATAAACAACTAAGCTTATTCGCTCGTGTGCTACGAAAATTACGGTTGAAAATTTATAGTTTTCGTTGTCCCTGTATTACAAGGCGAAGTCCAGCAACAAACAATTCGTCCGCCCGTAGTACTTGTAGTACACTCGAGGCAACTCTCGAGTCTTCGTTTAGCTTCTTCGCCTTTCGCACTTTCCTTTTTCATTGTACAATCCTTAATCTTCGTGTAAATTATAACGTTTCATTGATGCTTGTATATGTTATGAAAAACTGCAGAAGTAGAAACAAAAAAAAAAAAAAAAAATGGAAAGAAAACCAATTACCGAAAAAAGTAAAAATATCTACCGATCGTATTATTAAGTAATTTTATTTTCTCTTTTATGCATTGTGAGATCGAAAGTTTACTTGAATATCAGACTTCAGTAAGCAACGATTAATCTCATAATCGAAAAACAGACTACTAAAAGGATAAATATAGATTCTTAAAATAGAATCAACTCAACGGGCAAAATATTTTTTTCAATTCATAAAATAATTATGTCTTACGTATATTTAATTTTAAAAAATGAATTTTTCTGAAAACATTAAATGAAGAAATTTTAAACGTATAAGCGAAGCAAAAATAAATAAAATGTAAAAAATAATTCTTCAGCTAATTTTTCTAAATTTAAAAATAAATCTTTATTTACATTTGAGACATTAGGAAACTGGTTTCAAAAAAAAAAAAAAAAAAAAAACAGAAAAACCTTCTAAAAACATATTTTAATTTTCATTTTCTAATCCACGTGAAAGACTAATTAAAATATTTTTTTTTCTTTTATATAATCTTCATTATCTTGAAACGCCTCAATTGGATTACGCATAAGTAATCAATTTCCATCAGACTTAGTAACCAAATCTTTCTACTATTATTTTTTTAAACCGATTGAATTTACATTCCATTAGGTCATTTACGTATACTTTCTATGTCGTAAATATACATTAGTAACCAAAAATGCAGGAATCGCGAGTCACTATGTAATAGAAGAAATAAAAGTGCGAAAAATTGTAATACTTAAAAACCAATGTAAGTATTCCTTATAAGTACTTGATAAATAAATAAACCTCTTATACTAATATACCAAATATTATTAACAGATTGTGTTTATGGGACAATTGCATAAAATCCCATTAAATTGCTTCTTTTACATTCTTTGTATTTGGTGTCGGGGGAGGGTGGAGGGTGGAGGGTGGGGGGGGGGGGGAATTATTAGAACAATGGTATCTTGTTATTTATTTAATAGTACGTAGCGAGTGAAGAATGGTGGGGTGATGGAGGGGAATGGGAAGGGGAGGGGGAGGGGGAGGGGTTTACATGTATTTACACGCTGTTACCAAAAACAAAAAAGATATCTTCAAGGGAGCGTGTATATGGTATGCTTGTAACAATGAAAATTCTCCGAATGGAGTTAAACAATGCTTGGGAAATAAAGAAATTCCTGGTAAACTTTTTTCATCAGCAAACCAAAATGAACCAGTTCTTTTATATTGTGGTTGAATTGAAATTTTATTTAACACGCAACGCCTAATTTCCTTCAACTTTTGCGTTCCATTGTCGATTATTTTCATTCGTCGTCTAAAAGTTCTCAAACGAACAAAAATTCCTTAAACGCACATCTATACCATTTGGAATAATTTCAGCAGAACGAATGAATCTCGAAGTGAGATACTCCTACCTCCGCGTCCAACTCCAACTCCGCTCCCTTGGTCATCCACTACCTTCATCAGGCCATCCCTTTATTCCTTATTCCATGACAATAAAACCTCACTTGACAATCGAGCGACTAGGCGTAACCTAACGACTGCACCCACACAGCCAACGTTCCAACAACTCTACAGGAAGTCTCGATGTTCGCAGATACGACACCCCGGAGTACGAGGCGCCTCGGTCTCGGACGCGCTACCGGTCGCGCTTCATGCGCAATCGGGACGGCGAGGACTCGGACGGCGATACTCGCTCGACCGTGCGCTTCAACGCGCCCCAGGAACCCTCGGCCCTGAGGGAGCGCGAGCGCGTCCTCGATACCGAAGACGCCTCGAGGGGGCCGCTGTCCGGCATCTTCCGGCTAACGGACTCGCCTCGTGTCATGAAGAAGCTCAACGACTGCGAGCGCGCTGGTAAAAGGAAGAAGGACGAGTCCGCGCAGCCACAGCAACCCAAAGCACAGGTAAGAGCCAAGCTTATCGCGAAAGCTGCCCTCATCCACCCCCGAGCCCCCTCTATCAGCGAGCACGCGCACGCACGACGACCTTGTAATAAGTTTCTCGTATCGCCCGAGCCCCCACCCATTCACCCATCCACCCCCAACGAC